CAAAGGGTGTCCCGCTTGTATTTGTAGCATTGGGCCTTTTGGACCGCGCCACGCAATCAGATGCTCGGCTCAGGTGGAGCTCGCGAACGCAATCGTCTATTCAGCCTTGGCACAACCGGTGGCAAGGAGAGGGAGTGGTGACATTCGCAACGGTGGTAGCCGATCCAAGCGCTACTCGGGCGCAGGTACACCTGCGCCCGTTTTACCAGGTCAGACTCGCAACAGCAGCGCGCTGACCGTGTCTGCATGGGGCACCTTTTGCATCGAGTCCATCTCCGCTTTGTGAACGCCAGAGAAATGCTGATGCTCGGTGGCAAAGCTTTCACTACCGTACTTTGCTGTTGCCAATTCTCGGTAGAGGAACTGGTCCAGCTGACCTGAGCACGGATTCGTTGCTTCGAAGAGGACAAGACGCCTTTGAGCAGGGTGGCAGGGCCAAAACTCCACTGACGGTGCCACAAATGTTTGTACTGTCCATTTGGGATTTGTATTCGCCACTCGTCTTGCCCCGATTGTTAGTGATGATGATGATTGGAAGCCATGAAGGCTTGGCAGCAAATTGCGCCTTTTCAAAATTGGGCCTTTCGCTGATGGTGGCGCTTGCCTTGACCTGAGGGGCGTCGTGCGTGAGTGGGTGGCGAGCGAGCAAAGTGAGGCATCATCGACCCCGCTTGCGTGACGCAGGAAGGAAGCCTTTGCTCGCCATCAAGATCGGCAGTCTTGAACGATTTCTCCCGCTTACCCCTCATCGACTCTACCGTTGACGTAGTGTGCAGCGTAATACAAGCCTCCAAAACGAGCGGAAGTGAGTTGCGGGGCGCGATTTGTCGCATACGTAGAGCAGGGCCAACGTCTGGGCCAAAGGTCGGAGGATCACATTATAGACAGATTGACCGACCGATTGCTCGACCCGCCGATTCGAGCGGAGTGTGTGTACGATTGCAAAAACTGCTCGCTGCACTGTAATCAAGAGCTCGAACAGCCTGACCTAGCGCGATCAGGAGCCACACGCAGTGGTATCGGTTGTCCGTCTGAGCGACGTGGGTGTGCGGTGCTCACAAGACCATCACAGGGATCTTGCGAAGCTAGCCTAGCGGTCATGGTGCGAACCTCTCCTGGCTGTGAGCCTTCACAGCGTTGAAATTTCCATGATGTGATTGTGAGGGTGTAACTCAGACGATCGGCAGTGTTCTAAATTTGCTTTTGCTCTGGCGTATTGAAGCCCTCGAGACTCGTAAAAAGCACCCACGCATCTTCACACTCACGACCAATCTGAGTGAGGTTATTCACATTTCTTCTCGATCGATGAGAGGCACGACTCTTGACTATTCCTCATGCTCAGTCATAACTCGTGGGAATTCTTTGACTGAACCGCGTCCAACGACCCAAGCTCCGTTGGTACACGAGGTTGATGTTCCAGCTCCGATGTACGGTACAGAGGCAGGCTCACGTACAGACAGACCCCACTCCATCTGTGAGTCTTGAGTCTCAATCGAGCTCCGCTTCGTGGAGCCTGCATGTCGGGTCTGTGCCAAGCGAATCTTGAATGGAGTCGGCGGCGGCAGGAAAGGGACAAGAATGACGAGGCCGAGTCAAGCACGGCCGGGGTCTCCCGTCCAGCTGACGAAGACTCGGGTCGAACGAACGTGCATGTCGACTCGACTCACACTTGCGACACTCTTGACTCTTGACTCTTGACTCATTTGTGCATGACTCAGACTGATGACGCCCAGCTGAGTCGAGATTTTTGATTGAGAGTCACGAGTTTCAAGTTTGAATTCAATTCGTGGATACTGAAAGGCTTCCCGCCCGCCCTAGCTGAGGGTGTCCTACCTGCAAGATGGAATCGACCGTGAACCTCACGTGCACTCGTGACTTGCACTCACGAGACTCAAGACTCGCATCAAGAAGAGTGAGTGAGTGCGCATGTGCAGCG